CACACTCCCCCCCTCCCCTTCCCGTGATTCACTACAGCATTATGGCGTCAACTCGAGCGATAAAGGGACAAAGGGAGACCACAAATAAGCGTACTATCAGCTTCGTACTCATTGTCTCTCTCTACATAAGAAAAGAAACGTAAATAACTCCCACAAAAAAAAACATTACTTTCTCGTTTCTCCATTTTTATTTATTTTTTCATTATATATGGTTTGGTGTGTAAGGAAGGAAGCGTTTTATCTGCCATTGATTACCTGCCTTAATATCATACAAAATGGGAACTAAATGAAAGAAAATGGGAACTAAGTGAAAGAAAATGGGAACTAAGTTAAAGAAAATGGGAACTAAATGAAAGAAAATGGGAACTAAATGAAAGAAAATGGGAACTAAGTGAAAGAAAATGGGAACTAAATGAAAGAAAATGGGAACTAAATGAAAGAAAATGGGAACTAAATGAAAGAAAATGGGAACTAAGTGAAAGAAAATGGGAACTAAGAAAGAAAATGGGAACTAAATGAAAGAAAATGGGAACTAAATGAAAGAAAATGGGAACTAAGTGAAAGAAAATGGGAACTAAATGAAAGAAAATGGGAACTAAATGAAAGAAAATGGGAACTAAATGAAAGAAAATGGGAACTAAGTGAAAGAAAATGGGAACTAAGTGAAAGAAAATGGGAACTAAGTTAAAGAAAATGGGAACTAAATGAAAGAAAATGGGATTTGAATTAACGACATAAACCGTTAGTATAAGATAAGACAATAACATTACTGTGGGTTTAATGTATTGGAAATATAATTTAATTCACAAAAAAAAAATTATTTTTTTATCCCTGGTGATAAAAAATAACACAGCTAATTCCTTCCGTCTTGAGGCATTTTTCAGGCGATTTGTTTTGTAAAATTCATAAAAATTTAAAATTACGTAAATAATCGCTAAAAATATAATCGTAATAGCAGTCGTAGTAATTAAGTAGTTATTAATGTTATATTAGTGGTGGTAGTGATAGGGTAGCCATAGCAACCAAGTGTTTGTACAGTCAGAATTGTGGTAGAAGTGGGTGATAATAGTTGTAGTGGTAGTAGTTTTCAGAGAAGTATATGGGGTAGGACTACAACTATCATACTTGTGGTGCGAGTCGTGGTAGTAGTGATATTAATAGTAGTGGTAATATTAATAGCAGTAAGAATAGTTTTAGCTGATAGATATAGTGGTTATATTTGTAAAGGAAGGAATAGTTGTAGTGGTGGTTGAAGAATTTGTAGCTGTGGTAAATTGTCAGGAAAGGGGTGGTGGAAGTTGTGGTGTCATTGATGGTGGTGATGGTTATTGTGTGTAGGTAGTGGTGGTAGAGGAGATGGGGAGGTTGTCGTATTAATGGTAGTGGTGGTGGCGGGATGGGTGCGGTATTGGTGTTAGTGGTAGTAGCGATGGTGGTGCTGGAGGTGGGATGGATGGAGTACTGGTAATGGTGGTAGTAGTGACGGTGGTGATAGTAGTAGTAGTGATGGTACTGGTTGTTGTGGCGGTAGTGGTAATAGTAATGGTAGTAGTATTAGTAGCAGTAGTAGTAGTGAGAGCTGGGTAGTGATTTAATAATGACAGCAATAATGGCAATTCTACTATCATTAACAAAATTCACAAGCTAAAGTACCATATTAAGCAAAAGAAAAAAAATTCATATCATAAATTCTAACACTGTGCATCAGTTCGTGGAAAATGTCTGTTACTGAGAATAAAACGCAAGTCAACATTTCAATAAATAACAGCAGTTGGATCAAAATACCACTTCTACGATAAAACAGTAACTAAACGAGCATTATTCAGTAAATAAAACAACATTATTCAATAGATTAAAGAACAAAAAATCATGTATAAGATAAAGCATCAGTCAGAAGAGTAACATAAGTTTCTCTACCAGCACAGTTCATTTCATGTATATAATGTAAAATCTTTATATGAGGGTCTCCAAGTACTATATTTATGAAAAGAAAAACACAAGATCGAGAATAATGTTTTTGAAATCATACGTTATTGTAAATGTTAGTTTGGTGTAAATGTTTTATTGTTAATGATAGTTTTAGTGTAAATGTTATTTTGTAAATGTTAATCCTGTGATGTTATTACTCACTAAGAACTTTTTTTTTCAGTGAATTTTAGTCTTGTAATGTATCAATAAGCTTAAAATAATTACACCCAAGATTGTTTTATGAAATGTTACACGCAATTCACAATTTACAGCGGAAAAAAAGAGGTTACTGTCATACCCTCCCACACTCTCCCCTTCAAGTTGACCTGTGAACGATCCCCACCAAAAAATAATATACGTTCTACTTCAAAATGTATCACTTAAAAGAATATTACAAACCCTAAAAAAAAAATTGAAAGACTTCTGAGTTAGATCATATAACAGAGAAATTCACCTACAGAGTCATCGAAAAAGATTACCCATATTTTGAATGGTTTTATATTAGAATTTTGACTTTTCTTTTACACTGGTTCTGTATAAGTGATTTAGTGGAACACGTGAGGGAGGTGATGATGTTAAGTGGTATTTTTTATTATTATTATTATTTTTGTGGGGGGGTTATGGGAAATGTCTTGAGCAGCCGCTGTCTGGAACAATGGTCGAAGAATTTCCCAGATCTTGACGAGAGGGTCAGAAACTGGGCGTAGTTTTATACTTGATGGAACGTGGCCAAAACCAATATCCTGGCCAACATTACACGTGTGGTTTTGGTGTTCAACTTGACCCAAATCAACCCCAAACCAACACTCATCTGGACATTAATCCTCGGATAAAAAAAACTAAAATTCTGAAATAAATATCTTGAAACGTTGAAGTATTAGAGAGCGGTTTTAGAATTTTTATAGAGCAATAAAGAACCAATCAAATACAAAGAAAATTAATTTCTTAATTCAGTTTGGAGTTTCAGTAAGGACGAAGGATATTATTTACACGTTGCATTATAGACTATAATAATAATAATAATAATAATAATAATACAGTAATAATAATAATAATAATAATAATAATAATAATAATAACAATAATAATAATAATAATAACGGACACGAACACAATAAAAACATAAGCCTTGTAAATAACAAACAAACCTACTTACTGCAGCGAGACACATCAATGACAAAAAACAAAGATACAAGTATTTATTAGGTGCTTAATACCTTACCATCATTCATTCCGTCATTGTATTGTATTTCCAATTTTATTAAAAAATAAAAATAAAATAGCGAGAGGATTTTCTTCTAATAGAGCTCGGTTAGTTTTTGTATTCGTATAAAATAATTCTGATTACCAGGATGACTTTATAATATTTACATTAATATATTCCAAGTAATGTGTTCAAGGTGGATTACGTGTCATTACGTAAACAACATGAGTAATATATGCATCAGAGGCTTAACACTTAATTATATATGTATATTAAACCCCAGCCTTACAAGACATTTTCTGTAACTTATGCAGACTGAAATTTCTCCTGGTAAATATAACAAGTTATATTAGGTTCATAAATTAATACTAAGTTTATAGTTTTCATTCATCACACACACACACACACACGCGCGCGCGCTACACACACACACACACGCGCGCACACACACACACACACACACACACACGCGCACACACACACACACACACACACACACACACACACACACACACACACACACACACACACACACACACACACACACACACACACACACACACACACACACACACACACACACACACACACACACACTAACACACTCACACACACACACACACACACACACACACACACACCGTATTCATGGATATATTTCATCACTGTTAAAAATCTTCCTAGCTGGTATTAAGCTCATTAACTGTTATTGCTCCTGACAATAATTGATAATGATACAGTATTTCGACAAAGCTGTGAGAATATACATACAGTATACATTTTCTCAGTCTATTATTCGTTGTATTTCTTTTAGTCTAAAAAAAATGTTGATGAAATCATAGTGAATCAGTATTTTTTTTATTATTGTTATTAAGAGAGAGAGAGAGAGAGAGAGAGAGAGAGAGAGAGAGAGTTCACAATATATGCCATTCAAACTTTTCTCAAAATTTTCAGTTTCATTTACATATTAATATAAAAAAAATCATCCTAACTCTAATTCAAAATCAACTCACATAAAACTATGATAAAATCTAAATACGAAAAACTTGAAAAAGATTCAAAGAAAATTATACAAAAGAGTTCAGTGTATGCGTGACAGTTTGAATGCGTTGTTGCGTTACTGACCGCAGCCATAGTCATTTGGACGCACAGTGCAAACGCATAAACGAAGCATACACACCACCACCACAACATTAACCTGAGCGTCAATTTTGAAGACGATAACTCTGAACTATGTGACGACACACACACACAACCACAGCTTAAAGTAAAAAAAAACAAAATATAAGCAACATATAACGTCACCTTAAATGTATATTATATATATATATATATATATATATATATATATATATATATTTTAACACGTATGGTACAGTATAAATAACTGATAATATATATAATAGACAACTTGAAAGGGCAACTGAAATATATCGAGAGAACAGGCACGAGAGGCTCCCTAAAGTTGGTCATCTTGGCCTTTGATTGAGTCATTTGAGTCAAGTAATAGAGACACTAACCTCTCCAGGACACAGCCAGCTTGATACTTTCTTAGAAGACATATTTATGCAGTTTATTCTTCCATATTTCATTCAGATAAAAGGCAACAATCAAAATGTTATTTAGTTTAAAGGATTGAAGATCTCCTTAAATCTACATCCATGGCTTTGTGCTTCAAGAAACTATAAAGAAACCTTTTAATATAAACGATTTTTTTTAAAGAAACATCAATGAAATTCTAAAACATATATTCAAGTTAGTTACTACATAGGTGATAGAACACAGGTCCAGCAACACCACACAGACACAAACTTAACTCTCAACTTACCAGGAAGGAAGAGGACCAACTGCAACAGGCAGAGGATCAGATCCTTTAGTCCTAACATCATGGTGGTATTATAAGGTGTCCTGGAAGGCACGACACTAAACTTTAGCAATAATAATGTCACTCAACGGTATAAATGATCTTAGTAACAGGTGCACTATGTACATACGAGTCACTGATTGGAGAAGCCCACCATGGAGCGCTCATGGTAAATAGTACAAATTTGTATCCTTTTTTGCTATTATTTCTAAATACTTTCTAGATATTCTATCATCGCCACACTCTATTATAACCATCAAAGTATCTAAATGTCTGAGCATTGACAAGTGTCACGTGTAAATTCGTGGTTCTGTGTCCCAGTGTCACCCCCGACCCGAGGCATGACGTCCGTGACTGGGCCAGCTCGTAGCGAGAGCTCCGCCACGCACACCGTCCGAAGACATACTGACTGACTCTCAGCTTCCCCCGTCCACCACTAGCGTCTACCAGGCGCCGTGACCAAATAGCTGCGCCAGATCCACAAGTCAGTGCTCATATCCACACTGTTTCGGACGATGTGCGCGCACTGTGAGGAATTTTTAATGCTCTCGCGCCCACCCCCGTGAGAGTGGGCGCCTCGGTTTCGGTAAAATATTACGAGTGGTTATCCTTAATATTCTAACGGGGGACGTCTGACGGGTGACCATTGATGTAACAACCACGAGGTCATACACGATCCCGTTGTTGCCCTCAATGTCTTTATTAAATTGGTGGAGATTTTATACAACTCTAGACTAGTCGGTCACAGAGAGTGAGTATTAACACATCTGGTGGTCACAAGGGTTCTCTCCTTAGGCAACCGGCGATAACTAAGCTGTGACTCCAAGCTGTAACTCTACCAAGTTGTGAATACCAAACTGTTACTTTACCAAGCTGTGACTCCCAAGATGTGGCTACCAAGATGTGACCACCAAGATGTGACCACCAAAGATGTGACTACCAAGCTGTGGCTACCAAGATGTGACTCCCAAGATGTGACTCCCAAGATGTGACTACCAAGATGTGACTACCAAGCTGTAACTACCAAGCTGTGACTCCCAAGATGTGGCTACCAAGATGTGATTACCAAGATGTGACTACCAAAGATGTGACTACCAAGCTGTGACTACCAAGCTCTGACTATATTAAGCTGAGCGATTATAACTGCGAGCAAACCTCATGATGTTACATATAAAATACGACGACTTTATCACCATAATAACAGAGACTTACTGAGTGACGTCCTATAATGCAACTTTTTCTTAGATAAAGTTTTGGCCGCCGATAAATTGATATGGCTCTAAGAGGAAACTACGGCTTTTCTTATCAACTTTCAGGGTAAACATCAACATTTGTGTCACTCATAGATAAATAAATGACAACATATCTTGCCGTAACAAATATATGACCCATTTATCGTGCGCTGAACCTCCACTCTACGAGGATTCCTGACACACACAAGTGAATCGGATGTGACTTGTTCGTTCTTGTCGCTTTTCGCATTTGAAACAGAATAACAAGTTAACACAGAGTTGACACACTCGACCTATACCAGGACGCCACGTGAACAGTGTAAGGGTAGCAAGTTTCCTCTTTCAAGCTGACTGGAATTTGTCTCACTGAAAACATCCACAACGGAACAAATCTGGCCTGAAAATTACCAGAAATGATAACGGACCAAGTAACTGAGCTTTGCATAAAAAAATATATTCTAAGATCCTTCTATTTAGAGTCAAAATACCTCAATATAGACGATATTGGTTGATTATGCTTTATTTATTTATTAATACATATTGGAAAGAAAACAGGAACAGTAAATTTTTATTGATCGTCTTGTTAACTTGGTCTGTGATAGGTTAGAGCTTCACACGTGTCACACGGTTGGTGGGCAATAGTTTAGAATTTACTTGAGCGGCCAATCACAATTCTCAGCGTCGGTATATCAGTACTTCTTGGTATCGATGTCAAGCACGAGTCTCCTGATGCTGTTAAAGTGTCAACAGTTTAGCGCAGTTACGAGGACGAGGAGAGAGTGATGATGATAGTTGTTAATAACATAGTCTACGTACGTGTCAATAAGTCATGCAATCCTCACTACCTGCGGGCATCATGTCTCTTACTCTGTATTGCAACACATATGATGAACCTCACAGTTTAGGTTTATAATTAATGTCTGTCTGTTTTATTCTCTAACGGGTGATTTTTTTTTCTAACATTAAATGCAACTTTTACTCCATAGATTCTATTTTCGGTGCAGAGGGAAGAGGGGGAGGGGGAAGGGGAAGGGGGGTGGTAGGGAGTATGTGTATAAGAAATACATATCTTTTTTGAAAATGTCAACTCGGGTAAAAGCAAACTGATGCCGCGGTGTGAAGGTAAAACATTGTGGGATATTAATTAATATTCTCGCAAAGTTTAGCTCCGCGACGGTATCAACACTTACCTGAGAGACAGCCCACTCAGGTGTGCCAACGTACCTGTACACAGTCACAGGTCGCCGTCGTGGTTCATATTGTCTGTATATAATTGTAAATCATGTATAAGAATGGAGAAAAAAATACCCTGTCATTTTTGCTAGATAGTTTTTTGTGCTTAAGATTATTTGTATGTAAATAGTAAAAAAAAATCCGTATAGATCAAAAGCCTTTTTATTTTATCATGTGTGTGTGTGTGTGTGTATGTGTGTGTGTGTGTGTGTGTGTGTGTGTATGTGTGTGTGTGTGTGTGTGTGTGTATCTCTGTGTCTGTATGAAGAAAATAGATTTTATATTACCTATGCCCCTGACTTTTCCTTCATTACACAGTACTTGAGAGAAAATTATCACAAACAGCTGAGATTGTTGGGAGACTGTTGTAGTGAGTTAGGTACAGTCAATAAGGCGTATATGACGCGACGAGGTTCCTTATCATGATGGACACTTCATCGGTCTATTACGGCTGAGGATTATATATTTATATTCAATAAATTCAATGCAGCTCAACTAATAATAATAATAATAATAATAATAATAATAATAATAATATCGGTAATAAAAATAATAATAATAATAATAATAATATTAATAATAATAATAATACCGGTAATAATAATAATAATAATAATAATAATAACAATAATAATAATGATATCGGTAATAAAAATAATAATAATAATAATAATAATAATAATAATAATAATAATAATATCGGTAATAAAAATAATAATAATAATAATAATAATAATAATAATAATAACAATAATAATAATGATATCGGTAATAAAAATAATAATAATAATAATAATAATAATAATAATAATAATAATAATGATAATAATAATATCGGCAATAAAAATAATAATAATAATATTAATAATAATAATAATACCGGTAATAATAATAATAATAATAATAATAATAATAATAATAATAATAATAATAATAATAATGATATCGGTAATAAAAATAATAATAATAATAATAATAATAAAAATAATAATAATAATAATAACAATAATAATAATAATACCGGTAATAATAATAATAATAATAATAATAATAATAATAATAATAATAATAATAATAATAATAATAATAATAATAATAATAATAATAATAATAATAATAATAATAATAATAATATGCAGAAAATTTCACGAAGTTTTTACAGCTAACTCCAACAAAAGAAAAAATCGTGCATGCATAAAACAATAATTTAGAGGCCAGTATCCCAGAATATTGTCTAGGCTTCCATTTTCCTCCAGAAGGAATTTTACAATACATACATTTTTGTTCGGCTGATTTTGGTATTGAATGCATAACAGAGGCGGAAGCGTTTGCAAATGTGACCCAATACCAATCTATTTTGTAGATATATATGTATATATATACATATCACCAACGAGAAACATTTGTAAAACTGCAGCCAATATGAAACCTTTTTTCTTTACACTCTACATTAGAATTAAGGACGTTTATATACCTAAAGCCAATACCAACTGTTTTAGTATATATTATGGATTTGAAGCGGAAATATGGGTAAAACTGAAGCCAATACTGAATGACTACCAGGTCATCGCCCAGCGGATTTGCATTATTTCCAGAGCGTGTAGGAAAACTGCCTATGTGTGTATTTATTATAAGCAACGAATTTCAAGGAAAACCCCAGTGTGTGTTGTTGAATATTGTCGGGAGTTGAATTAGATTATTATTGTAAATGACTCTTGTTTGTGTACTGGAGTTCTTATGAAGATTAATATGATTATAGTAATTTATGTTAGGGACTGATATATCGTAATAATTCTTACGATAAATAAAAATAAGTACTGTAGTAGTAAGTTCAGTGTACAATGTTCTTCACTTCGCGCGGCACCTGAAGACGGAATATGATTCAAAATCTAAAAAAAAATGCCAAAGCACTTGTCACTAATATATCTAAAACTCTGGTGCCTGACTCAAAGGTGCCTGAGATATCACCTGGACAGACGTGAAAGCAAACAAACAAACAAACAAACAAACAAACAGGCAACCAATGAGTATCCTTCTTTCGGAACTCATATCCTTAGGGCACACACTTCGCGCGGCATCTGGAGACAGTATGGGGAAGTGAAGTGGTGATTTACAGTCTAAGAAACAACTATCTTCTCAAGTTTTGGTGAATACATCGCGGAAAAGTTGAGACATCCGACGCATCCATCTGTACACTCCATAACAGTTGGCAGGTCGATGGAACCTTTGAAGGGTAGCCAGTTACACATTGTTGACAATTTGGTTAGAATAAGTAAATATTATAAAAAAAAGAACATTGAAATTTCTGAAGTGACTTTGTAACGTGCTGGCTAACCTCTGAGAGCAGTCGTCCGGGCAGGCATCTTGGTGGCCTAGTCTAGTCCCGGGTTGAGGTTGACTAGCACAAAAAACAAAAGAATTATATTTACTATAGGTGTTCAGGTTTATGTAATAGGCATATACTGCGAGTAACAATATAATATTAAAAAAAAAAGAACAGGAATATTTATGTATTTATCTTCAGGGTTTATTTACGTACAAATTATTAACACTTATTATTATGATATTTGTTTTCCTTCCACCTTTATATTAAGTCTTTACTGTTGTTCTGAGTAACTTCAGATTTTAATGTTTTTGAAACTTATGTTGATGTTTAATTTTTTTTTTTAATAAATCGTAATATCATATCACCCATGATGATCGTCCTGTATATCTAAAAGAGAGTGTATCTCTCTCTCTCTCTCTCTCTCTCTCTCTCTCTCTCTCTCTCTCTCTAACCTCACTCTTAAATCATCTTCGACAGCGAGCAATATTTTCTGTACGTTTTTTGTATAACTTATGGAAGTGATTTTCGCTTTTCTTGTTTTGCTCAACATAAATTACGTTGTATTTCCATTTTCAACAAGATTTGTGCGCATATTTTTCTGAGTTTTGCGTATCTGTGCCTCTGTGTTGCCTTTAATAGGTTTGCCTTCATTCATAATTATTTTAA